TATCTTATCTTATCTTATCTTATCTTATCTTATCTTATCTTATCTTATCTTATCTTATCTTATCTTATCTTATCTTATCTTATCTTATCTTATAGATGGCCCTCCTCCTTGATTGTCAATCAAACAATCTAGTGCTCAGGATGGTCGACCGGCAGCACAACCGGACGATGGATGTGCGGTCACGTGGCTGTTCGGCATTCATTTTTGCATACATTTTTCATAGCTACTTGAGACACACTGTGCCAAGCTCCTGGGAAACCCCTCCTGCTGCAGCAAACATCACTGCATGGGGTTTCTTCCCGCTGGAGTCTACGATGTGGGGAAAAAAAGTCCGAGACCCTGTCACCTGACGTTGTTTGTGCCAAAAGTCGCTCTTGGACAGTTTCATTTAGTGAAAGTAGCTCTTAAGAGAAAATAAAGGTTGGAGACCCCTGCTCTAGTGGCTCTTTGTAGCTTTAAAAAAAGAAATTTTCTATACCTAAAGTCACAACAGGAACCAGTTTCAGCTGTTCTCCTGTACAGTTTTCTACAACACATGAACACAACGTCCATTCACTCAGTCTCTGCTTGTTTTTCCATGTATGCACCTAAAAAAAACTTCTGTCTTGCCAAAAAAAAAACCATTTAAATTTATTACAACTCCATCTTGTGCTGTTAAAATTTTATTTTATCTATTTTTTATTTTATTTTAAACATTCCATTTCTGATCATAATTTGAAATATTTAGGCCAATTTAGAGATAACACATTATCGCAATTATTATTGTTTTTTTTTATTTATAAATAAATGAACAATCTTTGACGTCAGAGTTTTAGACTCAAATTATTTCATGTTGACAAATGGAAAGGGTGATGTTAGATTTGTTTTGATTAAACTTTAAAAACAATATTTACAAAAGATGCAGGAACTCACACTCAGGTTGCTTGTTGGGGATGACTCTCAGCTACTACCACATCTAATTTCAGCTCAATATCTGTAAAAATGGCAGAGTTATAGCCATTTTTGTGTTCCAAAGTTAGTTGGTTGTTGTTGTTGGATTGCAATGATTACCTCCAGAAAGTTTAATTAAAATATGTCTAGCGAGAAAGACAAATACAGCCAAAGGAAGCTTTTTCATTGTAAAAGCTGCTGTTAAACCAAAACAAAAACTTTATATCTTTTTCATTGCATCAGCTGGAAAATCTCAAAGACGTGCAGCCGTGGCACCATCTGCACAGAACCAAATCCTCACAGTGAACAAAAACAACACAATGAGTCTCACCACACCAAATCTTCCAAGCCCAACAACACTCTGAGCCTGATGCAGGTAATGCTCCATCCACCTACTGATAAAACTGGGTCTTTCACCATCTCTGATTGCCTCTGTGCTCCACATTTCTGCACAACATCCAATCTGAGCTCAAAGAGGAAATCCTTTCACTGTCGATCATCAGCAAAAAGAATGGAAAAAAAGAAGAGATTTTTATGCAAACGAACGCCCACACTTGCACACACACACACACACACTCACACGCACGAGCATCCAGAGATGCATACAAAGATACATTATAGACTACACTCACATGCGTACAAACCAAAGCAGGAGGCGGTGGATGTGTGAAGAGGGAAATGAGGCTGAAAGGAGGAGAACTAGAGTGGAAACAGAGGAGTGATGATCAAAAACAAAAACCTGACAGACAGAGATGAGAGAGAGACAAAGTCATGATGCAGACGTTTGGAGACTGTTCAGAAGTGTGGAGGCTGAGAAAAAAAAAGAAGAGTAAAGTCAGCAGACTCAGCAATAGGATACAGTGGTAATGGGGAAAATAACAGGTAGAAGTTGAAAACGAAATAGTCCCAGAACCTACAAAAACTAAAAGCATTAAATAAACAATGAAGATAAAAAATCAGAGGAAAGTTACAGTAAGAAAAAGCTAGCTTTAGCTGATGAGACGCTCAGGGCTTTCTGACATGCAAATGGTTCGGCTCACGTTGAATAACGTCAGCTTCTGCTCTTTTAAAGTCGGCGAAACCTCAACAGGCACTCAAATGTTTCCTCTTTGATTCCAACAGCAAAAGCATTTGTTTGGAGCTGTGAACCTCATCCTCATGCAATCGCTCGTAAGGCAGAAGCCCTCAGCGATCATCACCATAATTTATTCCTTTTGATAGCGGTTGATTTTTCTCTCTTTTTCTCTTCTCCCTCTCTCATCTCCTCAACAATTATCTCTCCACCAACTTTATGGCTGACCGTGCCTCGTCAGCCGTTCCCCCCCCACAATCAATGGCTGTTGTGGGTGAAGTGGACGAGGCTCACTTTGAGAAGGTTGGATTGTGTCCATGCCTTTGTTCTGGCCCTGAATCGGACACGTCTAATGAGAGATTAAAAAAAATCAGAGAGATGAAGATCTGAGGGCTGAATTTCTGATTACACAAAGAATACATTTGGGTTAATGAAGTGAGGCGATAAAAAAAAGGAAAAAACGAACCACTGCAGAAGCACCAATAGGAGAACAAAGCAATATATGTATTATTAAAAGAAAGGTTTAAAAATGTAACGCTTTGAACAAAGAAAACATTTCACTTGAATGGCTTAATCAGAAAATCTGAAYATTTTGTTATCAAAGCTTGCAGCATGGAATTAGATTCAAGTTGATATTTCTGCCCAAAAATGTAAGGAATTCTTCTAGTAACGACTGCAAGGTTTACCCGAATTTTAACTAATAGCCAACATGGTTTTTGCACGTCAAGGTCAACCATGTCTGCATTAATTTTATTCACTGA